GGAAAAGCGATTTAAAGAAAAAAAAGAATTGAAAGAAAAAAATGGAAATAGAGCTTTTGTAGATGTGGAAGACAAGAAGGGTTGGAGGGGGAGGGGACAAAAAAAAAGAATTAAGATGTGTAATGTGCCATGTGCACAGTCCTCAAAATGAATGTAACCATTATGTACTGCAAACATGTACTAATAAAAAATACGAAGAAAAGGAAACTCTTCCTTTGTAAAAGCTCTCTGAAGCCTGGAAGCCAGCCATTCTTGCCATGTTCGGCCTAAAATCAGCTCAGTTTGACAAAACTACAGAAACAGCTGGATCGCACGGCTGCAGCATCTGCAACTTTGCACCTCCACATTGAGCCTTTTTCTAATAAGTCATGATGGAACCTAAACTTCCTGACTCTAAGTAAGCTCCCAACAAGTAGTGAGGAGTGGGAATAGACAGACTGTGACAGGGACAAAAAGGAAAGATGCACAAGGAAAAACGGACAGGAACACAGGCAGCTGGGTGTGCAGCCCCTGAGCTGTCTGTAGCACTGAAGACTCTTAGCGAAGCACGAACACATAGGAGACCTGTCTTCTGTTCTGCACTCCTTGGAGTCAGTGACTGCGAGTGTCCTCCAGAAAGGTGCTCCAGCACTACAGGATAAGGACAGCTGTACTCTCGCTGGATCAGGCCACTCTCCCTACACCCCCAGAGCTACCTGGCAAATGCTAGGCAAAAAACAATGTCCAAGCAAACTTTAAAGAAGGGAAGCTGTTGCAAGTTAATGTTTCTACCTCCATTAATCTATATGACAGTCTGAACTACACAGTGATACTCTCTCTCTCTCTGTCTCTTTCTCTCTCTCTCTCTCACACACACACACACACACACACCTTGATGATGCACTCTGAGCACTGCTCAGGGCAGCAATCCAAAGCGAGACCCATGGCCAGGATATGGCTCTGTATCCCCTATCCTAGTTTTATATACACCACCCCAGGCTCTTTGAGATTTTTTAGTTGGTACTGAAGACAATGTTGCTTCAGAGATACAGAAATATCTTCTATTTATAATTTCAGCAAGGCAATATAAAACTATGGGTCAAAGCAAACACATTAGGTCAGGGATATATAGCTCAGTGGCACAGCGCCTGCCTGGCAAGTGTGAGATCCTGAGTTCGATTCCCATTACCAAACAACAAAAACAAAAAAGGCAAACACATCAAGTCTCTCATCAACAGACAGCATTAGAGCAGTTACTCAGTTATGCTGAAGTTAGCTGAGTTTGCCCTATTTGTCAAGTGCTGTGTGAACATGAACACAGTCCTGTCCTGTGTGAGCTGGGTGTGGTAGTGCATCTCTGTAATCACAGCATTCAGGGAGGCTGAGGAACAAATTGAAAGTTCAAGCCTCGCTTAGGCAACTCAGTGATTTAGTGAGACCTTGTCTCAAAATTAAAAATAAAAATGGCTCATTGAGAAGGCCCTGTGTTCAATCCTCAATCCAGAAAAAGAAAAAATCATATTATAGCATGAGAGTAGAGGAGCTTAAAGATTAAAATGGTGATAACACACTGTTTACATGGTCACTTTAGATTTATTCATAATATATTTAGTAGTTTACAAATATTGAAGTACTCACTGTGTTCCAGCCACTATGCCAGAAGCCTGAGAACTATCACTGAGCAAAACAGCAAAAGATCCTTAACCTTGTGAGATTTTAGCAAAGAAACACATAAAGATAGTAAGCAGTAATGATAATGGACAAGTAAATTACAAATATGTTAGAAGTTATTGAAGGAATTAAGCACTGTGCAAACAGAAAAGAGGAAACACAGAGAGGTCTGGGAATGCTGGGAGGGAAGGGAAGCAGGACTTTACCCAAGCAATCAGGGTGAGTGCAGGAGCTGAGTAAGGGAGGAGAGGTCAGAGGGGCTGGATCATGGAAGACCCTGTAGGCCACGGTGAGGACATTACTTTTTACTCCTAGAGAGTGTTCTCATTTCCGCTGAAAGATTCTAAGCAGGGTGACATATTAGAAAGAATGCCATGGTTCCCCGATGGAGAAGAGACTCCAGGGGACCAGGAGGCACAGGGAGCTCAGCTAGGAAGCGACTGCAGTGATCCAGGCTAGAGGGCGGGGACCTGAGAACTATCACTGAGCAAAACAACAAAATGTTTTGGCCAGGAGTGAGGGTAATGAGAGGTGGCCTGCTCCTGTACATGTTTTGAAAGTAGAGTCACTAGGATTTCCGGACTGGATCAGGGTTGTGATGTGCAAGACAGAGGAGCCAAGTGAGATTCCATAGTTTGGGGCCTGATTAGCTGGAAGGATGGAGCTGCCATCTCCTGAGATGAAGATGGCTGGGGGCAGAGTAAGTTTTGGGAGTAAGATCAGGACTTCAAGATTGGACATGACCTAGCTGTCATACAAGTGAAGATACTAAGCAAGCAGCTGGGTATATAACTCTGGTGGAAGACGCAGGAAAGAGATTTGGGCTGGAAATATAAATGTGGAGTCACTGGCAATATATCTATTTAGTAAATGTAATAAAAGAAAAACCAGTTTGGTTTTTACATATGAGTATGAACTCAGAGGAGAATGGATCAAACTACCAGAAGAACACACAGAGAATATCAAGGACAAGCACCAAGACACACTGATGTTCAGGGGATGGGAAAGAGGAGGAGCCAGCAAAAAAACTGAGGGGCAGTGATAGGAGGTACAAAGCGCATGCTGTGCTCCTGGAAGCCAAGTGAAGGATAAGGAGAAACCGTGAGAAGTTAACCCCAGAACAACTCTCAAGCACAAGGGGCAACATGTAAAAACCGAAGTAGCTGCTACTAGGCATGGTTGTTTAGGAAGCTAGACCTTACCCAAACTAATCTCTAAAACTTGTACCCTTATAATGAATGAGATAAATGGGCAGGTCTAAAAGAGAGGTCATTTGACAGCTTCTAGGAGGCAAAAAGGATTCACTTTTAAAAGTCAATTACAAAAGAGATTAAACCTCCAGTCCCTCTTTGAGAGTGAGCATATATTTTTTTTCCTCTCAATCTTTAACAAAGCTGTGAGAGCTACACTGTACTTCTGAATCTTCAAAAAGATAAGGTAAAAAATTAGTTCTTTAGCTGATTCAAGATCTAATCTTAACACGATACTTACACTCAAGCCAAACTCCAATACTATGAAACTTTCTCCGCTTTTCCAACTGGAAATTTTCTTTCTCCTATGAATCTTCTATACCTCCCTGTAAAATTATTCAACTGGTGATGCACTATCTTAAACAGATGCTTTATGTACTTTTCTCTAGTCCTAATAATAACTGCAAAGTTGCATTTATCTCTGTTTTATAGGTGAGGAAACTGATACTTAGAAAGCATGCCCAAGGTTATACAACTAGTAAGGTATAAATCCAGGATTTAAGCCCAGAGCTGTCTTACTGTAGGACCTGCATCTTTCAACCACTACACAATCCTGCTTCTTGCAGTGTGATGATTTTTAACAATATGATTGCCAATGGAATTGGGTCTTGACCCTGAGCAAATTATTTTAATCTCTCAGTTCCTTCATCTTCTCACTCATAAAATAAAGATGGGATCTCACATTGTTGTGAAGATTAAATTCAAAAAATGTATGTGAGAGTGTTGTATAAACCATGCTGGTTTTTATTATTACATTTACTAGGTTCTATGCTCCATCAGATGAAGTTCATGTGGTACACGTATGTCACCTTCAATAGTCAATAAAGGGCTTAATGTGCCTTAAAATCATGTACCACTCTTTGGAAGGATTTGAGACACTTTCTTCCCCATCTAAGGAGGAAACCAGGATCCCATTTCATAATGCCTGGGTTAATTATTCACAATCCAAACCTTAAATTACAATAAAGTTACCAACTTAACGCATTTACCAAAGACAAGATCTCAACAGCCTGTGTGGCATTTAACGTCTTGGTGTTTCTTCTACAATACAGGCTTTCATTGCCATGATAATTTAGGAAAGAGAAAATCCCAAATGAAAAATATCAGTAAAATTTGTAAGAAAACATGCCTGAAAAAAGGAAAAGCAGAAGAAAAAAGGCTCAGTTTATTAGCAGAGTTAATACAGATCTTATTGTTCTGTGAATCATCTGATTACAGCTTCTGATTACAAACTGTTATCTCTAACACTGTGTACCTCATCACCCACTGTGAAATTTGATTTACTTTAAGACCAGCCACAGTTATTTACCTTCTTCAGCCATGCGCGCTTTCCCTCCGATAAATGCACAGTGTGGTGGGATACACAGGGAAGTGGCCCAGTAAGCTGTTAACTAGGACTAGCTTTGCTCCCAGGTGAGAACTATGGAAGGGAACCAATCCCTGCATTTTTATTTACTTACATGATTCATGGGAAATCACTTAACATCTCTGTTAATGACGGGTCTGTTTTCTAGTGTATAAAATTAGAAATTTCTAATTTCTAACAAAAACCCAGCTCTCTTGCCTCATTTAGAACTTGCTTAACATTTCTCAAACACTCTCCTGCATAGAATTCTCATTTTCCCAAAAGTGTCCTGTGAGTAGATGTAATGCTTCTTTCTCTAAAAGCCATGAGAGCTTGGGGATGGCGGTGACTATCTAATTTTTGTACCCTTCTGTTGAGAAATAATTTGTTAATATTGGCAAAATCATTACACTAGCGTTTAATTAAGATGATGAAGTCCCTTCTAGAAAAAAAGTGACCTATTAAATGCTTTATATTGATATAATGTGTTCCAAGATTTCAGGCTTCCCTTTTAAACTGTTTTTGTTTGTTGGGGTTTAGTATTTTTATAGTACTGAAGCCCATGACACAGACTCTGTAATGGTTTGATGGTTGAGCTGAACTTGTCTTGGGAGACCTATAATTTCCACAGTCCCCACATTACAACCAGAATAATGTTTGAGGCAACTTCAACTGGTCAATCTTGTTTTTCTAAGGCATTTTCTAGTATGAGATGATAGTATCTGTTACCAGCAGAGTCCAAGATGCATACTCACCAAGTGAACATAAGGCACAAAGTATCCAAAAAGTGCAAGTGGTATTCCAACTGCCCACACTGCATAAGCTGTCACCTTGAAGATGGAAAAATTGAAAACTTTTTTTGGAGGACTGAACTTTTTCCTGGAAAAGAGGGAGAATCTGCTGCTTTCACTCTCTTTATCTTTGGCATTGGAATCAAGAGGGCGATAAGTAAAGCCAGCCAAAATAAGAACAAACATGAAGATGCAGAGGACCCTCAGTGTATTAAAGAGGCCTGTGTTGTCAATCAGAACCCTTAAAAGCAAAGGGAGCAAAATTGTGAAGAGACTGCTGCCAGCAGTGACGATGCCGTTCACAAGTCCAAGGCGCTTCTTGAAATAGTGTCCCAAAATGACGAGCGAGGGCTGGTATGCAAAGGAGCAGCCACAGGCAAATATGATTCCATAGGTGAGGTACAAAGGCTCGATGGAGCTGTATGAAGATTAAAAAAAAAAAAGGTGGAAAGAAGCTTTAATTTTTATCATGTGCTTTGTAGTATAAAACCTTATGGTAAAAGTAGGTTTTAGTTAATCAACATATTTTCTGCAAATAAAAATTAACCAAAAACAGAGAGGAAACGCTTAACAAGAAAGTAGCAGTAGAAAGAACTTAATCTAAATGTACGAACAATGATCATTAAATTGTCTCCCCATCTCTTCCAGTTTCTGGTGAACCACACAGTACTGGACGAGAACTGTGTTCTCCACAGCTCAAAAATAAAGTCAGTGCCAGGAAGGGCCTCAGAAAGACTGACAGTGATTAAACCAATACAATCTTGTCTCAAGTTTTTACATTACAATTATAAAAACCCATTATTTCATGGGATTTTTAAGGTACTTACTAGGTGACCTAGTAAAAGCAAAGGTTCACTCGATACCGTCTTCCCAAGGTTATGTCAAGGACATTTACACAGAAGAATGGGGTAGCTCATTTCTGCTGGCCTAAGGGCTGCAGACCAACCTTCGCCCTGTGTTGCACTGTGGCCAGAATTGTGCAAGATAACAAATCATATTCTGATTGCAGAGAGACTGAGTTAAATGTACTCACCAGTGATCCAAGTTTCTAAGCTTTAGGGCTGTGCATGTCTCAGAAGTAAGACATTAAAATATTTTATAGCTTAATCAAATAATTTTACTACCTCTTAGGAAGCAAAAGATCACATTATTATATGCTTTGAAACTATTAAGGTAAAGAGTAAAAGAAAACTAAAGTTTTCTGTTAAGTCAAATTCAAAAACCAATTTATCAGCAGTAAAGGCAAACAATTTATTAGAAACTAAGATAAAAAAGTTGGTTAATAATTAAATTTTGGACTATAATGCTAGTCTAGATTATTTCAGCAATATGCTGAAATAATCTACAAGGAACTCTAGAATCTAATAAAATTAATGTATGCTGGCAAACTCTCTGAGATGCCCTTCCCCCTCAATTAATCTAGCTAGAACTATGTCCACATCAGGATCAACAATAACTTCTAGGTTCTCCCAGATTAATCTCACTTCACTTTTGTCACCTTTTACTGAATCTCTACTTTTCACTCAACAAACATATTCAACAGCTACTATGGACCAGCTACTTAGGGAAAAAATATTTCAAAATGTGGTTCTCCTTTCAAACTACCTGCTGTTTGCTTGTCAAAAATACATCTACACCTAATTAAAAAAAAATACCAAAATGTTACAAAAACTACTTTACTCTGCATCAGATTTTCTGGATGAGCAATTTTTCATAACAGTAACATCTTCAATTGTCAAAACTTTTAAACAATTTTAAAAGAAAAAATCTAAAATCTGTACATTTCTTTGCCTCTTTCAAAGTATATATTAAAAATAGTACCAACAATATAATAGTCACAAACATCAATTTTTATAGTTGTGCACGGTATTATGGTACGATGCTGTCAGTTAGAAGATCAGATAGCCATATACATACGTTAGAACATTCTTCTGAGTACATTTTACAATGCTAAGCACCTGATGAGATCAGCTTCTTATCTCTCCTTCAGGAGAAAAGATGTGACCTTTGTGTTGCCTAAGCCTCTTTTACTTCTGAACATTCACCTTACAAGAGATGGCTCAAGTGCCGAAGTCCAACAACTGAGTAAGAGCAGTGTAAACACCAAATGTGTGCAAAGGGATTCAAAGGGAAGTGATGTGACTGACCCAACATGCTGGAAGCAGTTTTTCTAAGAAGTCAGACGGGAACTAGAGGAAAAGTGAATCCACCAATCAAACATATCCACATTTCTCCTTGTTTCTGTATATTGCTCTGAAGTTCTGACAGCCTTTTACCAGCTGGTTAAATAATAAAGTTGAATAGGAAATATGGGACACTTCACGTAGTAAGGGAAATCTGGTTTCAAGAAATTTTGCTAGGCAGGAATGGTGGTGCACTCCTGTAATCGCAGCACTCAGGAGGCTGAGGCAGGAGGATTGCTGCGAGCTAGAGGCCAGCCTGGGCTACAAAGTGAGACCCTATCTAAAAAAAAGGTTTTTTTTTTTTTTGCTTCTTCTGGATGGGGAAGGACAAATAGGTTCACCATATAAAATACCTATCATTTTTATTTGGCAGTGGTCAAAAAAGTTTGAAAAACAGTATTTGTTGCTGTCTGTTATGTGTGGTTTGTCTGCCAAACTTGGTAACAGGTTACACAGCTTTCTACCAGTCCTCTCTGTACCAAAGCCTGGGTGCTGATGCATTCGGCAAGCGGCAGAGCCGCAGGCACACACAGTGTGCCCGGAGCCTTCCAGCTCAAAGACAGCAATGGGGCATCAGTCACACAATGTTACGCTGCAGCCAAAAAGGAGTAAAGATAAAAAAAATAAAGTGAGAAAAAGATAAATGACCTCACAGAATTACCTAAAAAGATCTTATTCCAAGTAAAACTTTTCTCTTCAAGAATAACAATTTTAAATTAGATAAAAGTAAATATGGAAGAAGCTCACTTCAGATTTGAGGAAGGGGCGAATGTGGTAGAGGGTGAAATACGTAAATCCAAGGATTCTGCTAATTGAATGCCAATCAGCAGAACTGAAAAACAAATGGGGCAAAAAAATGTCAGTGTGCCTTTCCCCAGTGACTTTAATCATGTTTTTCAACTAAAAGTGCATGAAGATAGGCAGGGAAAAAAGAGACAGGAATGAAGATAAACCACTAATGCAGAAGCAGCGTGTAGAAATGTTCTCCGGTCTCCTTGTCCATCATTCCTGCTCACCAAAGCCGCGTGTTACACCAGGCCTTCTCGCTCTGCACCTTACCCTAACCCTGCAAGGGAGTCACTGGATTTGGGGCTGCTGCATGCCATCATGCGCCCATCTACTCCTTGCAGTTAGTCCCTCCTTGGTGCATTACATTTTTCTTCTGACACAGACAAGGTTCGGTGACTTTATGTTTTATTTTAGGTGCATTTGACTTCCATTTTTCTATGAAACTTAAACATTTTAGTGTGCAATTTCTTTAAAAGTACAGACAGGAATTCTCTACCCAGGTTGGAATAATTAAGAGCCTTCTTTCCATTAATAAAAGCATTTTTATATCAAGCTTACAAACAACCACATTAAAATCCCACTTGTAGCTCTTTGGGTCTCAGACAGAGCTGAACTTAAAACTAAGGTCATTACTTTAGATAACTCAGTTATAACTTGATTCTTTTAGGGGTTTTATGTAAATAGAAAAACACAAAAGAAGAAACATTATTCTTAGCTCTAGGGAACACATATGCTGACATCTAAATCTTAAGCACTGTAAGCAAAATTCAAAACTTTTCAAGTTCTGATTTGCTGCTGTGGATGGAAGTTCAATTTACACGTCATACTGCATAAGGTTTTATAAACCTTATAAATTATACAGTTTCTGAAAGGAAAATTTTGCGGTTAACAATTCTTCAAGAGCTACATGAGGAAACCAAGTCCTTACCTTACAAAAGAACTGGACATGAGTCCAATGAAGCCCACAGCAGCACCTACAACAGCTGTTTTCCGACAACCAACTATGTCTGTGAAGACGCTGACTATAGGGCAGCAAAGGAAAATCATCCCCATGGACAGAGAGCTCACCCATGCTGTAAGAGAGGGAAGAGGGGGCATTATGACATGGCAAATTATATCTGTACTCATTCCCCTGGCTATAATACACAGTTAGAAAATATTAGTGCAAAAGGTTTTACCACACTGATACATGGGGGCAAGCTGGAAACCGGTAACAAATTTGCTCACAGTTCACAGTATTGGCTAACTAGAATTAGAATAATGGTTTTATATCCTTAAATTAATTCTTGAAAAGTTTGTGCCTTTATTAAACACTGCCCTATGATCCTATTTCCCTTGATATCTACCTATGTTTTTAAGCGATTTCTAATCTCTGGGAAGAAGTTTATTTTTAAAAATGAGATATGTTTGGTAATATATGTCTATATGTTCACACTGCAAACAAATGATGACCACTGAAGATAAAGAAAGAATAGTGTAACCACTCCTGGGGGAAGGATTATAATCATTCAGACCCTATAGGTAATGTATGATCATTTGCATGGGGCGTGGGCCTAGTTCTTTTGTTAGGAGACAATTTTTGACCTGGGTAACAGTTACTGGATATTCGCTTTGTAATTACCTACAATACTATACCTATGTTTGTGTTTTCATTTCTGAAAGTGTATTATCTCTTACAATTAAAAAATCATGTCATAACCTCTAGTTCTGATTTTGTAAAAGTTACAACAAAAAAGAGAAAAATAAATGTAAGTACAAATAATTGTAATTGTGCGCCAACAAAATGAGTGCTGTCATAGGACACCAAGTCTGTAAATTCTTCCAAGAATGTTTAACAAACTAATGGGGCCTGCATGCACATGGGCTGTAGAACAGTCCATCCCGAGGGAATCCCCAGCTATACAACAATATGTCCTTTAGAACAAGTATATCTATGTATCTATGTTTATATACATACACAGTATGTATTTCATTGCTGGAGTTCTTTCATCTCTTTCTTTATAGGTACATTTGCAGTACAGAGCCCTTTCTTTCCTGTCTCTTTGTGTCCTTCCTTCTCATCCCCGTCCCCTTCCACTCTCCTTTTCCCCCTTTCTTTTCTTCCTTCCTCCTTTTCTCTCTCCCCTTCCCCCCACCACTCCTTCTAACACCCCTACCCCCTTCTAAGCCACTAAACTATCCAGGCTGGGTTCAAACTTACAATGGTCCTGCCTCAGCCTCCAAGACTGCTGTAAGTAAGCACCACCATGCTCCACTCTAGAAAAAGTATATCTTAATCTCAGCATCTGAGATACAAGCATTTAGGAAGTTAAGAGTTTTAACAATGGCAACAAATTGTCTTAAAACATGAAGATCATCTGTGTGGCTCTATCCAGCTCTGAAACTGAGTAAATTTCTCTATCTCCTTAGCAGAGGAAGGAAGCCCAAGCCCTAAGAATGATCATTTCTTTATACTGTGTCCTGATGAACATTTACCATAACCTCATTTACCATTTATTTCTTGGCCTTCTTGCATTTTCTAAGTTACACATACAGCATTTTAATCAGGTTATTTCTATTTTTGGTCTACCCTTACCAGAAAGAATACTGTGATCTTAAATCACAAGGAAGAGACTGCAAAGAGTGCCATTACTTAGATGTTGGTGGTAGACATTTACAAGCTAACAGTAGAGGGAGGCTAACTGGCCAAATAAGTTAGCAAAACACAATCCCACACTTGTGAAGCCATCTAGTATCAAGTCCGCTTGTAAAATGTTTTAGTCTACTATCTCACATAAAAATTTTACAATTTCATAATAACTTAATTCCCTTCAAAAAAAAGTTTAGTAAAGGCCTCAATCCACCCTCACCAGCAACACCAGCTGCCTTGTGCATGCTGTGGGTGAAGAGGTCCTGCCCTGCACCGCCAGTTACCTTCGTGCACCCCATGGGAGAGGAGAGAGGCACTGCGCGACCCTGGATGCCAGGCCCTGGTGCACCCTGTGCAGGAGAAAGGGAGAGTAGCAAATGCCCAAATCCTAGCTGGCTCTGCACCTTGGTTTGCCACAGCACAGCGCAGCACAGATGACAACGAAGACTGAGAATGAGACCAACACCCAGGACAGTTTTACTCCAGAACTCAAATGCAAGCCTGTTGCAGAGACACTGAGAGAAAGCCCGGGAGACAGGCTTGGAGACAGTGAGAGCGGAACAGAGATCACTGAGGTCCCCTGAGAAGCTCAGGCTCAGAACAGGAACAGCACAAGCCCTGGATTCTATGGTTAGAGGCCAGTTTGATGGATGTAAGAAGGGGTAGATACGAGAGAGACGGCATTTAATCCAGTGGTCTCCTGGGCTTTTGCACTGTTACCTACACTCAGCAGAAATTAGTAGTGTGACTTACTATAAGTCATTATCTGGGTGGCTTAAGTGGCCACACTAAAATCATAGACCTCTTTGCTTTGATTAAAGGAAGTTCGTGAGTGGTTCTTACAGTTTGCTAGTATCCAGTTTATTTTTGATGCCACTGCTATCGCTGATTTTACCAGCCACAGTGACACAGTTGGTGCTGTCAATTGATTTTCTCTGTATGCCAGTATCTGGATTGCCTAGGGCAGCGCTATGGCTCATTCCAGAGAACCAGGCACTAGGCCAAAGAAGCTGCAAACCTCAGCACAGAGAACAAACCAACAAAAAAATAGAAACATGAAGAAACAAGGCAACAAAATGCCTCCCCAAACTCCTAACTCCCTCAAGCCCGAATGAGGGGGCATCAGGGAGAAGGAAACAAGCCACACAGAAGAAACGTCCGAAAAGGAATCAATGGAAGTAAGGAAACAATTCAGTAAGGCCTAGGCAAATTTAAGATACAGCTAAAGAGATAAAGACCCAAATGAATCAAGTGATAAGCAAGTCTGGAGGAGACACTAATAAAAATCTAGTGGACCTAAATAAAGATATGTGAAACATGAACACTCAGCATAGAAGAGAATAGGAGTCCATACAAAAGGGTTTTTAAAAATCTAAACAGTTTATTTGCTGTAAATAGCAACACAGACAAAAAGCCATACAAACACAAAGGAAGTGATGCAGAATTCGGTTCTGAAGCTTTTAAGCAACAAAGCCCAGGTTCTGGGGGGAACGGATGAGGGGCAGAAGGGGCAAGTGAGTCTCTTGTACAGCCAGCCGGAGGCTACAGACAGCTCTAAGCGGTGTGAAGCACGCCTACCTTGGAGAACAGAGGACTAGCTTCTTCCAGGGGACTTACCCAAGTATAAAGGTTTATATTTTCATAGCAGTTGAAATGCTGACATCAATATTAAAATAAAAGCAAATTTTACAAAATAATCAATAATTCAAAGCTGGATGAGGTGGCACATGCCTGTAATTCCAGCACTGAGGAGGCTGAGGCAGAAGGACTGCCATGAGTTCAAGACCAGCCTGGGCTACAAAGTGAGTTCAAGACCAGCCTGAATTGCATAGTGAAATGCAGTCTCAAAAAGACAAAAAACAAAAAGAAAAAAACATAAAAGACTAAAGGAAGAGAGCCCGTATAAAAACAGGGTGATTCAGTGGATGAAAACAGTACACCAGAGGTGGGAGTGGAGATGGCATCTACCTGGTCCTCCCAGCAACGAGTGACTTCTTCAGTGACTAGATTTGCTGAAAGTGTGAGTTCTTGCCAAACCAGTCCCTTCCTCTGTGCAGACTCACAGGGCCACTGCTGACCAGGGCACAGACTTAGTTTGTGCTTGAACCCTCTTCTCACGCTCCACTTATCCATCGTGTAGCGCTCTGCTTGAGCTCTAGCTTGGATATTTCCCAAGAAATATCCACTGAGAAGTTCCTATCATCCTAGTAAGATCTGTTTGATTGTGCTGGCTGGCCTCAGGTTTTCGTTGTCCTGCAGGATGGATAGGCACCCTGTGCCTGAGGGGTACACATCGGGGTGGAAGAGTGGCAGCTCAAATTTACACTTGGGCAGTAAGGCTGGATAACCATCTTTGAAAAGCATCTGCAGCTTGAAGCCTTCTTCCCGTGGAGTTCCCTTCTTCGTGGGTGCCATACTCTCAGTTCACCAGGTTCACTGTGCCACTGGGGCTCTTGACGGAAAGGGCCACAGAGTCATCTGGGAGTGTCTTTCCTCCCAGCTTTCCTCTGCTGGGCGAGCTCCAGTAGCCAGTGGGTACAGTGCTTTGTTTTGGAATAACAAAAATGATCTAAATTTGACTGTAGTCATTCTACTGAATCTTACACTTTAAGTTTGTATATTGTGTAGTATGCAAATTTCAGCTAAATAAAGCTGTTATTTTAAATTTAAAAAAAGAAACCCAGCAGATTAAAAATACAGTTGAATGTAAAGGCAGCAGAAATGACCAGTGTAAGGACAGACTGTCAGATCCACAAGACAGAGCTGTGGTTAGGGATGAGTTAGTAAAAGATACCTTAGAAACAAGAGAACATGAAAAATGGATCCAACCACTGCTAGATGACTCAAAGAAGACTAATGTAAGAGTAATCGGAATTAATGAAAAATGAGAAGACAGCACAAAGGGCATTTAAAAAACCTGTTTATATAAGAAATGGCAGAAAACTTTCCAGGCATGGAAAAACATTTAACATAGATAGGTGAGGCATATATAACCATGAATAGCCAAGATGAGACAAAAAAAAAAAGGACTCAATGTGTATTGGATTGACAACTGGTGGTCAACTTGTAACACCCAGCTGAACTGAATCAGCATGGTGCTGGATGCGAAGGGCCCACCTGAGGAACGTCGCCAACAGCATAAAAAAAGAACTGGAGGGGAAGAGGTATGGTTGCTTCCCCTGCAGAAGTGTGCCACACTGGTTTTCCTGACACGAACTTGGCTGTTCTCATCGTCAGAGGAGCTCAGGACCTCATTGTCACTGAGGATGGCTGTGGTTCTTTTTTTTTTTTTGGTGGTACTGGGAATCAAACTCATGACCTTGCACTTGCCAGGGAGGCACTGTGCCACTGAGCTGTTTCCCTGACCCTGGCTGTGGTTCTTTTCCAGGGAATGCTGGTCTTTGAATGTCCCTTCCTGGCTCCAGTACAGATACCTCAGCCTAC